ACTTATTTAGAATTGTTTTTAGAACATAGAAATGTGTCATAAAAATCATCAAAGTGTGACATTTGCATGATAATCAAGTTCTGATTCTCTCATTGGGTTAGACTAGAGCAGTTCATACCAAAACTCTTAACCATCTATTACCACGATGATAATTTTTACAATGCACTGCTTTCTTCTGGTTCCAATTAGTAATGCCATTTAGAAAGCTTGATTTTTTTAAAACACGTTGGTAATTCTTTTCTAGGACCTAAGTAAAAATAGCTTATCTATTATCTTTGATTTATGGTTGCAATCTAAGAAATACCTGATTTATATTATTCTGAAAGCCATGATCAGCTCTGAAATTAGGACTGTAAATGATGATTCCTCTGCAAAACTACATAAAATTAGGCTCTGTGAGGTCCAGTGGAACTGGACTTTCAGAAATAATGTCTAGTACTGATTCCTGGAGTATCAGGTGCCCATACCAATCATGATGGGAAGATTGTCAAAACAGAGGAGGACCTAAAGTGGAATGGGTCACAGCTCATTTGTTTTGCTTTCGTCTGTTGCTACAACAGCTGTAAAGGAAGAACTATCTCAGAAAGTAACTGACTGGATCCAATTGTGCCACACAAAACTTCTTGCACTGTATAATTATATAATTATTATATACAATTATAATTATATTATACAATTATAATTATATTATACAATTATAATTATATTATACAATATAATTATATAATTATAATTATATACAGTGCAAGTATAAGCATTTGATAGGTGTGCAAAGAGCGTTCATTTGATTTCTTAAATTAATGGAAATGAGGCCATTTTTTGGCTAAAACAGCCAATAGTATAAGCTTCAGCTCCAGCAGTAGAAGCCCTACATCTGTCCCTGCAGAATGAAACTAACTGTAAGAACAAAGCCACAGGATTTATTCTATGCCCTTTTAAGGCCAAACCTCATTGACTAAATTGTAACAGGGTCAATCAAGTTCTTAGACGCTGCACTTTAACTGAAATGAAAATGTTTCAGCTGAGTAATGAGTTCTTATATATATCCAAAGCTTTCCACCAAATTAACGTCTGTGTTTTAAATCTGGAAGTGTGGTTTTTCTACTGCTTTTAATATGGATGACTTTGGGGACACAGTGGCTAATGATTTAATTAATGATTTACATTAAAACAAAGGTGATCTTGCATGATTAAAAACCTACTTCTCTCCCTCTCTTCCCCTCTCTCTGTATTTTTATTTCTTTCTAGCAGCCGTTTATTAAAGAGCCTGGATATTTTTGCTGTGAAAATAAACTAAATACCGCCCTCTATTAGAAACTGAGTAAAACTGTTCTGAAAACATTTTCTCCTTTATTGATTTCTTCACAGCCTTTTTATTGCTTCAGTTTTTCTGCCTGTAATCCCACTGTTAATATTCCCCTCATCATTTACTTCCTAGACTGACTTCAGTGGGCTAGCCCCAGACTTAGCCATAATGGGGTAGGCTCATAAAAATCTGTTAATTATATTAAGTTATATGGCATTGATTTTAGGGGAAAAGTCAAACATTTCAGTGAATTCACTTCAACTTGAACTCAGGTAAGTGTATACTGGATATCGGAAGTAAAAAATATTTATAATTATATTAAAAATAATAATCCTTCCCCTCCCCCAATAAGACATTATCTCAATATGATTGTGGAGCTTGAATGCTCTGAGGAGGATGAGAGCTATTCTAGAGTATGGATGGATAGGTCTCATCAGAAGATGCCTAGCAAAGCTTGTCTCTCCTATTAAAATATATAGTAAAATGTAACAACTATGAATAAAGTCAAAAATGTCTGGATAGTAGATATAGCAGTAACAGGAGACAGCAGAAGAGAATAGAAAGAACTGGAGAAAATAACAAAATACAAAAACCTGCTAATAGAGGTAGAATGACTGTAGCAAAGAGAGCAAAAATAGTACCAATGGTAACAGGTGCCTTTGGTTTAATCCCAAAATAATTAGAGCACCACTTGAAGATCAGCGTTGACAAAATCACTATCAATCACTTGCAAAACGGAGTTTTACTTGGAACAGTTTACATCCTGTGATGATACTTCTAACACCATCAAACAAGAGCAACATCTGCCTATCTCAGATTCTTGGAAGGACTCAATAGGTGGACAAAATTGTCAAATCCAATCTAAACAGCTGATTGAATGCAACCAACCATAATCCACTAAGAATGTTGGTTAATTGTGCTTCAGTCAATCAAGAGACCATTTCCGGCACTCTTTTCACTCCATCCCCAAATAATGCAAGCAAGCCAGTGGTGGAATTCAGCCAGTTCGCACCACTTCAGGAGAACCAGTTGTTAACTTTCTGAGCAGTTTAGCAAACTGGTTGTTGGAAGAAATTAGGGCAGAGAACCGGTTGTTAAATTACTTGAATCCCACCACTGAAGCAAGCCCATTTACAAGACTACTGAAGAAGGACACAGGCCTAAAAAACATAGTTTATCAAGGAAATAGGTATGGTCTGCAAATTTCAACCAATGAAAGAAATTAGAGTTGCATTGGTTTTGAATGCTGATGCTTTCATATTTAATTTTTCTTCAATCCCCAGCTGGAAAAGTTCTGCCTAAAATCTTGGCAAGTGACTTGACAATTCAGAGTTCAATGGGAAAAGGCTGTGAGTCTGGATTGGGCAGTTTCCCCTGCTTCTCTGTTTTTTGTCCTGAATATGTGAAATGTATTACTGTAAATATTTTTTGAAAAAGTAAATATAACCTAGGATGGCAAGCAGAAAATTAACCATTTATTGTGTGAATTTTTCAGGTGGATATTCCTGGTGGGTTCAAAACCATGCTCTTATCCCAAGTAGTACAAAGGGATTTGAAGATTTTTTTAAAAAAATATTTTGGTGGAATGGTGGATTTCTTGTTTGTTTTTTCCTCTTTTGACCCAGCTAATGTTCTTTCAGCAACTCCAGGAACCATTCACTCCCCTTTCATTAATGCTGTTTCTATTGCAGATCACTAAATATTCCTCAGCTATAACTCACGTTGAGCATCATTATTAGAGTGGTTCATCATGTATATTAATGAATTCTTCTGGTCTTGTCTAATTCTTACTTCTTCCTCCCACTTAAAGGACATGGATTCACGACTCCTTATTCTCTCAGTTTCCTTTCAGTATCAGCTTTCTCCAACCTCAGACTTTTGATGCATGGCTAACTGAGAAGCTGGGACTGCACGATAAACTAAGCAGCAGAAATGATTTTAGATCTTTTTTTTTTATCATCTTAGGAAGATTAAATAATTAGTGCTGAACTAAACACTCTATTGCATAAAATCAGAAAAACAGTTCAGCTAATAGAGCTAAAGAGCCCATTTGGTGTAGTGCATAAAGCACAAAGCTGGAAACTGAATAACTATGAGTTCTAATCTCACTTAGGCACAAAGTCAGCTGAGTGACCTTGCAGTCACTCTTTCTCAACCCTAGGGAGGAGGCAACGGCAAACACAGGAGGACAAGCAGTTGCAAGGTGTCAACACTGACTTGAAGGTCAATCGATCAATATAGTAAGAGTCAAATAGCCCAGCTGTGTCCCAATGTAGGGCATGTGAGATGATAGCTAATCTATATTATAATGCTTCCAAGCAAATGCTAGTACAGGTAGTTCTTAATTTACAATAATAATTAAGACCAGATTTTTTGTTGTTAAGCAAAGTGATTTTTAAGTGAGTCATGTCCAATGTTCTGACATTTTGCCATAGTTGCTAAGCAAATCACTGCAGTTGTTCAGGGAATCCTGCAGTCATTAAACGAATCCCACTGCCCCCATTGACTTTGCTTGTTGGAAGCCATCTGGGAAGGGAGCAAATGAAAATCATATGACCCTGGAATGTTGTAACCATCATAAATTCATGCCAGTTGCTAGGTGCTTGAATATTGATGTTGGGATACTGCAACTGACATAAGTGTGAAGATAATTCCTAAGTCATTTTTTTTCAGTGCTGTTGTAACTTTGAACAGTGGCTAAACGAATGGTTGTAAGCCAAGCACTACCTGCATTTAGCCCATTCTGGAATACACTAAATGCAAAACACCTCAAACCATAGGTCTGCCAGAGGTGAGGCCTCTGCAGATTTCAGAGTAACACCTATCAAGGAAATCAGCAGTCATGTGGAAGGTAAGGGCAGAAGATGTGTATGGAATGGGATGTGGAAAGGGTGAATAGGCAGATTTCCTGTAGCTGAGAATTAAATCAGAGAGAGTGGGGTGAAATGGGTTTATTTGTGATGAGAGCCAATTTAGTGAAGTAGTGAAGGTGCCGGAATAAAAATCAGCAGACTCTCAGTTAAACATGGAAACCAGCTGAGTGACTTTGGGCCAGTGACCCTGTCTCAGCCCAACCCACCTTGAAGAGGTGGTGTTGTGAGGAAAATAGAAGGGGGGAGCATTATGCTCTCCTGAGTTGGGAAAAATAAAAGCAGGTTATAAATTTAACAAATAAATAAAACTTAATACTAGAAGATACTATTATGAGCCTCTCACATTTATATTTCCAAACTAGGAAATATAGCTATCACATCTTTAAAAATAACAAGAGAGTGAATATCCAGCATCATAAAGATAACTGTTTCTGCTGGTGAAGTCAAGAACATTTTATAAAAGCCAGTTAGGGTTATGAGCACAATTAAAAAAAACAACCAATGGAGCCATTGAGACTTTAAGGTTGGCTGATTCAGTTTTGTGCTTAACAATCACATATGAGAGGTCAAGAATTCAGATTTTATCTCCGTGAGGCAATTCATATCTGAGAAAAAAAAACTACCCTTATGAATGAACTCAAGGGACCTAACCAACAAAGCAGTTTAGCCATTTTACTTCCAGAATAAATAGATATCTCCAAAAATCATTTTGCATAAATCATCTAGCAACTTTAATTTCTACCATTAGGAATAAATTTGGCTTAATGAAAGAGAAGATTTAGTGTCCATTGAGCCATTTAATTTACAGAAAAGTAACTTACCAGAAAAAAAGCTGCAGTAGTAATTAAGTACACAGTAATTAAAAATTTGTCCCAAGATATCGGCGATGTGACATGTCCACCCACTCTGCTGATTTTTTCTCTCTTTTTTCAATTCCAAGTCAGCATCATCTCCAGAGTTGCCATGGTTACAGGTGCACTGAAAAAAGAAGGCTGCGATGAGTCTTGTCATTGCACAGTGACCTTGTGCTGTTGAAAAATGTACTGAAAGGAATGCAAGGTATATTATATACATACCAAAAGGAAACAATGCTGGTGGGATATTTGGATTGCAGGATCTCGCCACAATAGTTTATCTCTAAAATGCCTGCATGGCCATGGCTCAGCTTTGAGTGGATATAACTTTAGCTATGATATATAAAGGTTGTGCTGATTCATAAAGATGTATTGTGTAGGGTGAAATTGGAAGGGAAATTGGAATATTGGAATATTCAGCTTAAGAAGTGAAGCCGTGAATAAAGGCTTCACTCAGGTCCACCAATAAGGCGAGAAAAACAGTTCATTTCTATTGGCCGAGCCAGCTGACAGCTCGCTATAAAAGACGAGCTGTCAGCCAGACTTGCTGCTGGGTTTTACTTGTTGCAAATAAAGAGTGTTGCATCAGATCTCGCTCTGTCTCTTCCATCTAACTCACAATCTAACACTGGTGACGAGGATGGGATCGGAAGAATGATAAAATCAAAAAGAGCTGATCGCGACCCCAGCCAAAGTGGAACACAGAAACGAGCCGTTGTTTGCTGCACCACACTCTCCTCAACCATCAATGCATCTGCTAATCACCAGCCTGCATCGGTCTACTCGAGATGGCTGCCATCGCTCCACTCACTCCATATAACACAGCCTCAGGAAACTGGGACTCCTATATAGTCCGGTTCAAGTGCTTCTTAGAAGCAAATGATTTCACAGGACTTTCTGATAACAAGAAAAGGACACTATTCCTGAGCTATTGTTGCACGGACATTTTTGAGACTGCCAGGGCCCTCCTTGCCCCAGCAGCCATGCAAACCATACCATGGACAGCTAAACTCAGAACGCATTACATGCTCACACCGTCAAGAATCGCTCAGCATGGGAAGAAACCAAGAGTGAAACTAAAAATTATACAGGATGTAGGTGAGAAAGGAGGTCTTAAAATGCCTAACTTAAGATTGTATTATGAAGCGGCTGTTTTATCACAAATTAGTGACTGGTTTAACTTAACTGAAGAAAGAATGTTAAACATAGAAGGCTATGATTTGTTATATGGATGGCATGCTTATCTGTTATATGAAAAAAAAGTGGATAAAGTGTTTAAGGGTCATATACTTAGAAATGCATTGTTGAGGGTTTGGAAAAAGTATCAATATAAGTTAAACTATAAGATACCCATATGGGCAAATCCTAGACATGCAATAGAAAATATAAGTATAGAGCAAAAAACAGAGGTGATTACTTATAAAGAGCTTCTTCTTTTGGAAAGGGGTAATTTGCAACTGAAATCTTTAGATGTACTAAAAGAAGAAGGGATAATTTATACTTGGTTTCAGTGTGGTCAGCTTCAAGCTAGATGGAGGGAAGATCAAAAAATTGGTGTTATGCAAAATGAGGAAAATTTGGTGAAACAGGTTAGAGATCAGTCAGATGCATATTAAAAGGTTGTATAATGCTTTATTGGAAATAGATTCAGAAACGGAATTGGTTAAGGATTGTATGATAAAATGGACACAAAACTTTCAGGAACCAGTGATGATGGAAACATGGGAAAAGATTTGGGTCAGAAATGTTAAATTTATGCAAGCACAAAACTTGAGAGAGAACTTTTATAAAATGTTTTATAGATGGCATTTAGATCCTAAAAAAATATCATGTATGTACCCGAATTTGCAACTAAATGTTGGAGATGTGAATGTGATAATGCAACCTATTATCATATATGGTGGACCTGCAAGAAAATCAAGGATAAAAATTTGGTGGGTGATGCAGAACATTCTGAAAAAAAGGTTGAAATTTACTCCTCAATTGTTTTACTGGGTATAACGATGGATTGTACAGTATTAGAGACTAAATTGATTTTGAACTTAATATCAGCAGCAAGGCTGTTGGTAGCACAATACTGGAAGAAGGACTTTTTGCCTGAAAGTAACGAACTTAGCAGAAATGGCGAAAATCTCAGCGTATTTGAAGGACTATACACAAGAAAGATACGTATCGGAATGGAGAAGATGGATTGATTATATTCAAAATAAGTATCAGACAAGAAAATATCAAATAGCTTATGAATGAACGTTAAGTATTAGAAGTATTATGTTATCTATAGTGGAATTAAGGTTTCAGGGGTGGGGGATTTAGTAGTCTGAGGATAGATAGGTTAATTTAGCTTATGATTGTTAATTGAAGTACCCTGTATTTTACTCTGGGAAGTCTCGGGGGGGGAGGGGAGGGAAAGGGGGGGGAATATTGGGAGGGGAAAATTCTTTTTTTTTTTGTAAAACTTTTCAATAAAAAAAAAAGAATCGCTCAGCGCCATGCATTCCACCAACGGAATCAAGAAGAGGGTGAATCAATAAATAAATATGTCATCGCTCTTCAAAAAGCCACTTTATACTACGACTTCAAAGAGCTCAATGACATCCTACTTGACCGAATCATCTGTGGAGTGAGAAACATAAACCTACAAAGGTGTTTACTAGCCAAGCCAAATCTAAACTTGCAGATGGCGCTAGATGAAGCCCAAGCCATGGAAACCTCGAACCAATCCACAGCAGCAATCCAAAAATCAAATAGCCCACCATCCTCGTGCAGAGCTGTCACCATCCACCATGACAACACGGAGTGCAAAATATCTATTGACGATGAGGGCGAGGTCTGCCGACTCCGTTCAGCAAAAGGACAAAACCCCACGATGGAAGGAAAGAAAACCACATGTGTGGATTGCGGCGGTAATCACCCCAGATCAGTGTGCAGATTTAAGGATGCAATTTGTAGTGGTGTGATAGAAAAAGACACTTAGCAAGGTCTGTCATGCCAATTAACCCACTGCCTATTGCACCAATCAACCTGCCACCCAGACGGGGTCCAAGAAGGCACAGTACAGACAGCAACGGCAGGGAGAGGAATGTTTTGCAATATCCAAGAACACATACCAGGCAGAGTATGTGCCCTTGGATAATACTCTGCAAGCCACCCTAGACCACCTGGGCAAGCCAGCCTAGACCACTCAAAGAAAATGCACATCACCATATTAATTGAGGGCTCCCCATGCTGCATGTAGGTGGACACCGGGCCGTCCATGACAATTGTATCCTCGACTACAATAAAAAAAACTAGTGCCGAGAATATCCAAAAACCAATTGAAATCCCATCACCTCCAGCTAAAAGACTACCAAGGAAACGGATCCCTGTCATTGGGAGCAGAACATTCCAAGTGTCTTTTAAAAACTTTGCGGGGGCCCTGTGACTCATCATAGTGGATGGCTCCCTGCCAAGCCTGCTAGGGCTGGACTGGTTCTCCTCCCTTGGCCTAGAGATGACTGGCATCAACACCATCCATAACAACAGTGTCGAGGGCCTGATCCGGGAGTTCGCAGACATCTTCGAGGTGAACTGGGCAAGTATACGGGGGACACCCATTTTCTTCAATCTTGACCCCCAGGTTGACCCTATCAGAATGAAGCCGCACAGGGTCCCATTTGCTTTACATCCCAAAAGAGACAAACAATTGGATAAATTAATTGCCCAGGGAGTTTTAAAGCCAGTCGACCACACCAGTGGGAGACTTCAATAGTGACTGCTGTCAAACCAGATGGCTCAGTCAGCCTTTGTGCGGACTATAAGTGCTTGCTTAAGAAGGCATTGCAACAGAATGCATATCCAGTACCAATTGTGCAACACCTCCTGCACTCTCTAGGCAAAGGAAAGACTTTGCTAAATTAGACCTCACGCCGCCATACCAGCAACTGCCAGTGGACAATGCCATCGCAGAAGCGCAAACCATTGTGACACTCTGATTACAGTTCAGAGTGAGTGTGACACTGGGACTGTTCCAGAGCCTTATGGAACGCCTTTTACAAGGCATTCCAGGTGTCGTGCCCTACTTTGATTACGTATTAGTCTCAGCAACTAAAACAAAGAACTCCACAACCGACTGAGAACAATCCTAAGCAGATTTCAGGAGGTGGGGCTAAAAGTCAAAAAAGAAAAATGCCAAATAGCGGTGCCACAGGTCGAGTTCCTGGGTTACCTGATAGATGCCTCAGGGTTACACCCCATGGAGGGAAAGGTACGAGCCATACAGGAAGCTCCGACCCCCAGAAATAAAACAGAGCTCCAGGCATTTCTAGGACTATTGAACTTTTATAGTGTTTTTCTACCACAAAAGGTGTCAGTAGCTGAACCGTTGCACCGATTATTGGCTAACAAAGTCACTGTAGGGCTGGGTCAAAAGGAAGCTGCCGCATTTGCTACCGTAAAAAACCTGCTGTCATCCAAAAGTGTCCTTATCCAATACAATGAGAACCTCCCACTGGTTCTCACTTGTGATGCCTCACCATTTTGGGTTGGAGCAGTCCTGAGCCATCAAATCCCAAATGGGACTGAGGCTCCAATCGCCTTTTACTCCAGGACATTATCAGCTGCAGAGAGAAATTACAGCCAACTGGATAAGGAGGCTTTGGCAGCAGTTGCTAGAATAAAGAAATTCCATGAGTATTTGTGTGGCAGACACTTTGAACTGATCACCGATCACAAAGCGCTGCTGTGCCTACTTGCAGGGGGCAAACATTGACCATCTTGTCACCACATATGATGCATTGGACTGTGTTTTTAGTGGCTTATAACTACAGATTCATCCACTGATTGGGTAAGTCCCTAAGCCATGCAGACGCCCTCAGCCAGTGCCCCTGCTGGCCATCCTAGAAGACACGGGCCCAGTTACCCCCATCCTCCTAATAGAGGAATGGCCATCCGATTCCATCACCACCGCTGAAGTCAAGAAACTATCTGCGAAAACCCTAGCCCAAGTCCTCAACTGGGTGTGGAGGGGGTGGTTTAAGGGGCCCGTCGGAGCTGAATTTGCACCCTTCCATGCCCAGCAACATAAACAGTCATCATAGAAAGGCTGCTTGCTGTGGGGCAATAGGGTAATCGTCCCACCCAAACTTATTAAGAGCCTTGGTGGTGCAGCAGACTAAAGCACTGTTAAGTAATACCAGCTGCCTGCAATTACTGCAAGTTCAAATCTCACCAAGGTTGACTCAGTCTTCCATCCTTTCGAGGTAGGTAAAATGAGGACCCAGTTTGTGGGGGCAATAAGCTGACTTTGTATAAAAAGTCAGCTTATTGCTGACTTGGGGGGGCCGAAAGCAGGTATATACAAAAGTATGAAGGCTATTGCTTAACGCATTGTAAGATGCCCTGAGTCTCTGGAAAAGGGCGGCATATAAATCGAACCAATAAATAAAAACATAAATAAATAAACTGCAGAGACTGATCCTGGAAGCTTTACATGTAGGTCACCCAGACATCGTCAAGATGAAATCCCTCACCCGCAATAATATCTGGTGGCCAAACATGGGCAAGGCCATTGCAGAATGGGTCGCATCCTGCACACCATGCCAGGAAATGAGACCAGCGCCACCCTCAGCTCCAGTGCAAGAGTGGAAGACCCCCCAAGACACCGTGGTTGCGGGTCCACATTGACTTCACAAGACCAATCCATGGCCAAACCTTTATGGTTGTCATAGACGCATATTCTAAATGGTTGGAAGTGGTCTTGATGCCATCAACAACCTTGGACACCGTCATAAAGGTGCTATTAAAACTGTTCATGACCCATGGCCTTCTGAACGTCCTGGTGTCCAACAATGGCCCACAATTCATGACCAGCCATTTTGAAACTTTCCTGTCTAGTCATGGCATCCACCATGCCCTGGTCTCACTGTTCCATTTGGCCAGCAATGGACAGGCAGAAAGAATGGTGCAATGAGCCAAAGAGACTCTTGCTAGAATGGGTCCCGGGGACTGGCAAACTCGAATTGCCAAATGTTTGTTAGTCCAGCATGTAACACCCAGTGCCACAATTAACAGAAGATGAGCTAGTTGGACCTTTTTGGATTGAAGTTGGACTAAAAATGAACTCTCAAGCCTACTGCAGGAAAGACGAGTAGTGGTGGGCCAGAGTGGCAGGCAGCCATGGGAGGTCATCTTCTCATGGTGACACTGGCAACAAACAGAAGCAGAGGCACGGGGAGAGGCAGGTGATCTGGATGCACCACATAGGCCAAGGAAAAGCCAATGGCAGTTGGTTGGAGCAGTGGGCAGCCGCAGGAGGCTCATCTTCATGTCTCTCAGTTTGCCTGCAGCCATGGTACATCCAGATTGCAAGCCTTCCACTCTGTGTGTCGAGATTGCCTGCCTTCTGCTCCATGCCTTCTGCTCTGTGCAACCCCATACTACACCGAGGAAAGGTCTGGCAGGCTGCAGCTGCTGCCAGATACTGTTAGTCCCCATGCACTTGCCAGCTCTTGTGTGCACCCTGGGGGGGGGGGCGCCTGGCCAAGCTGATTACCCTGAAATTGTGTTTCCCTGAAAATAAGCCCTACTGCTTATTTTGGGGTCCAAAAGAAAATAAGACCGGGTCTTATTTTTGGGGAAACACAGTAGTTGCCCAATAATTGTGCACACATAGCTATTCTAAGAAAGCCAAAGCCTCACTTTTACTTTCTTAAATATTTTTGAGGTTTATTAACATTCTGGATTGACCAAGAATACTGTAGTGGTTCAATAGTAAAAGTAACCCTCCAAAATACAGCTTGCCTAACTATTGTGCACATAGTGTAACACATTAAAGGTTTATTAGTAAAAAAAATGTGTCAAATGAATCAGACTCAATTTTGAAAAATTTTAAAATCAAATTCATTAATTGAATCAAATGTCTCATTAAATGAATGAAAATCTGTTTTACTTCCAGCCCACCACCAATCAGCTGTTTCCCCCTCCACTGATCATCTGTTTCTGATACAGCCGAAGGAGGAACTAAATTGCCTCCAAGCAGCTCCGTTTCAAGTTTTTTTTAAAAAAAACATTTACTGCTGATCAGCTCAAGCGTCTTCAGACAGCTGCCCAGAAGCGGGTGGGGCGGTAATTTACAAAACTCCGATTGCAGTTGCTTTAAAAAAAAACACCACTTGCCACTTAGTTAACTATGTCCAGCCAGCTAGCCAGTAGGAGATGGGGGAGGGATTTTAGAGAACTCTTGGCTTGCAATAGTAACAGAGATGGAAGGGACCTTGAGGTCATCTAGTCCAACCCACTACTCTCACAAGAGTATGTCTGATAAATGCCGTATCCAGTCTCTTCTTAATAACCCCCAGTGATGGGGCACTTTTTCAAATTTGCAAAAAAAAAAGCTTGCAAATTTGAAAACCAGCAGTTTAGAGAAGAGATACAGCACACGACATTATAGAATGCATTGTATAGATGCTGGCTAGCATTTCTACAAGCAGTTATAAAACAAATGCAAACAAACTATCTTTGCAAAGAACTGTACTTACAAACACAATACTGTAGTGTGCAAAGTATAGTACAATACTTAAGAAGCAAAGCAGTTCCCAAAGTGCTTACAAACAATACTATACTATAGAGTTACAACAAATATATATTTTAAAATACTTACAGGAGCAATTCTAGCACCCTACCGGTAGTTTTCAGCCCAGGCAGCAGCAGCAGATCCTACACACAGCACCAAAAAACCTAAAATAAACAAAAAAATCTTGGAGCAGGGCTGGTTGCAAAGATTACGGGATCTTGTTTGGCCATGTGACCAGGGACAAAAAAACCCCAAACTGCTGGCTTCAGGAAATTGCCTCATAAGCCTGAACAGCCCAGGCAAGACACAGAATTAAAAATGATGGAGTGACTGAATCCAAGTCACATTGAAGCGGGATTCACTAATCCCAAATTAATCAGGAGACAAGACCACAGAGATCCAGAGAAAACAGGCTTTATTGAATATTGCTAGCAATAGGCCCAGTGCAGTAACCTGACAAATACTGAGCCCCGAGCAACGCCCTGAGGTGGTTTTTATATGTTTATGATCATAGCATACTTTCAGTTCCTTCTAGGATAATGCAATATGCATAGATACAGATGGGTAAACTGGAAAAGTACAAATACAGAAGTAACCTGGAAAAGTACAAAAGCAGAAGTATATGGGTATACAATACGTGCCAGTTACACAATTACAATGGTTACAACATTATAGTTACGACAGATTGCTACAAATGTCAAGTTCCCTTCTAGGAGTACAGATGTAGGAGAAAGGGCAATACATTTATAGATGCGCTATAAATGATATAAAAGCAAGGCCTTTAAGATACATACTGTTAGGATACACCATATGAGGGGCTCTCCTTCATTCCCCCCTGTTGAGACTTTGCCAAGTAATACAATTACTGCAAAGTTTCATTTTCGATGTTACTTTCCTCGATAAATTTCTGGTATTCCCACCAGGCCATGGCTCGGGCCGTGGACTTTTTCTCAACCAATAAGGACAACGTGCTGGTACCAATGTAGGGGTCGTATTTCCTCCCAACCATGTCCAAATGTCATCCTCCGCGGGGAAGCGTTTGCCCTGGTCAAGAGGCGAAAGGGGACCCTCCAAGTCCAAGCTCCCCTTCCCCCCTGTTCCTAGCAAAACGCGATAAAGGTAAAGAGAGTTAATAATGATACTGAGTAGCAATAGCACAATAACAACCCAAATGGAAGGCAAAAGGCCACGGCGAATACAAGCCGTCTCACGAATGCGCTGAGCTGGATCCATTTAAGACCAATGATAGGAATATGTAAGAGGTGGTTGACTAAGGGCTGTGAGAACCGTAGGAGTTGCCGTTAGGGTAGAGACCCGTTGGCCAGAGGAATTGGAATAGAAGAATCCCTCAAGAACTTGTTCGATAACAACTATGTCACAAATAAGGGCACAGTCAATACACAAAACACAATCAATACAATGGGAACAGCAGCAGGAATCGCAGGGGCAGGGGCAAAACCAGCACATGAAATCAAGGAGATGACGAGGGGACCTGCCTCCCAGAGCGCAGGGTAAAGCGAGGAGCGTTGCCCATGCGATGGGTATTAGCCTCCGGAGTAATACCTGCAGGGGGTTCCTCTTCGGCTCCCGTTCGTAGAGGGACAGCTTCCGGAGTGTCACCAGAAGGGGCAGCCACAGGTGCAGCGCATGGACCTGATTAACCACATCCCAGGCCATGTGGCCTGGGAGGAAAACACGAGAATCGGGCAAGACCCACCAACCCCCCTGTAGGGAAGCATCGAGTTCACGGGCTTGAGCAAGTTCAGATGCACTATAATGAGGCTGCATAGAGTCTGGGGGATCCCATAAGGCGAGGCAGTGCGCCTGCAGTTTGAAAGGTCGCAACGCTGCATGGCGAGCCTCCTGGTCAGCCTTATGGTTACCCAGTTGTGTGTCCGAGGGTGATTTCTGATGGCCCCTACAGTGCATGACAGCCACCTTGCGAGGGGCCCAAACACTGTCCAGCAGGCGGAGGATTTGTGGACCATACTTGATGTCCTTTCCCCCTGCTGTAATAAGTCCCCTCTCTTTATACAATGCCCCGTGGACTTGAACTGTTAAAAAGGCATATTTCGAATCTGTGTAAATATTGACATTTAGATTTTTAGAAAGCTCAAGGGCTCTAGTTAAAGCGTGGAGCTCTGCCAACTGTGCACTAGTGCCAGGAGGGAGGGGTTCGGCTTCCCAGACATCTGTTAGGGTAACAACAGCATATCCAGCCTTGCGAACCCCATTCAGGAGGAAACTAGTGCCGTCGGTGTACAGTGCATAGTCAGGACGGGGAAGTGGGACATCTGACATATCAGGGCGGCTGGCATATGTTTCCCCAATAGTCTGAATACAATCGTGGGCCGTATCAAGATCAGGTTCAGGAAGGAGAGTTGCCGGATTCAAAGAAGTAGATTGCTTTAAAACAATCATGGGGTTGTGAGTGATAAGGCCTTGGTATTTGAGCATCCTGGGATTTGTTAACCACAAATGGCCTTTTGTTTCCAAGACAGCCTTCAAGGCGTGAGGGGTTTGTATTTCGAGCTCTTGTCCAAAGGTTAGCTTGCAAGACTCTTGAGTAAGAAGAGCCGTGCCAGCAACAGCCTTGAGACAGGCAGGCCAACCCCTCGCAACAGGATCCAGTTGCTTGGAAAGATAGGCTACAGGGCGATGCCAGGTTCCTAACCTTTGGGTGAGAACCCCAACAGCAACATTTTGTTTAGTATCCACAAATAACTGAAAAGGTTTGTCTAAGTCTGGCAAGCCCAAACTGGGGGCTTGCATCAGAGCATGTTTTAAACTTGAGAAACTTTTCTGTTCCTCTTTTCGCCAGAGGAGCGGCTCTCGGTCACTGCCTCTGGTAGCCTCATATAGGGGTTTTGCAAGGAGGCTAAAGTTAGGAATCCAAATACGGCAAAACCCAGCAGCCCCCAGAAACCCCCGGAGATCCTTTTTAGTCCGTGGGGTGGGGAGGCGGCAAATAGCTTCCTTTCTTTCATGACCCAAGGTGCGTTTTCCAGGCTCAATATCATAGCCCAAGTATCTAACTTTTTGCAAAACCAATTGTGCCTTTTTCCGAGAAGCCTTATAGCCCAGTCGCTGTAGAAGGTGTAGGAGATCATAAGTGTTTTGCCAGCATATGTCCTTTGTCTGGCCAGTGACCAGCAGGTCATCAACATACTGCAACAAGACCTCCGGCTTGGGGAGGTTCAAAGCTTCCAAATCAGCTGCGAGGGCATTCCCAAACAGAGTGGGGGAGTTCTTAAAACCTTGAGGCAACCTGGTCCAAGTATACTGCTGTTTACGACCAGTAGCCGGATTTTCCCACTCAAAAGCAAAGAGATGCTGACTCTTTTTATGGATTGGGATGGTAAAGAATGCATCCTTAAGGTCTATGACCGAAAACCATGACGCAGTCTGGGGAATCAAGCCCAGAATAACGTACGGATTTGGGACCAAAGGATGAATGGTCACGGTAGCGGCATTTACTGGCTTTAAATTTTGGACCGGACGGAAACGGCCATCCCCTTTCGGAATAGGCAAGATTGGGGTGTTCCAGGCCGATTCAGTAGGGACCAGAATGTCATGTGCCAGATAGAGATCAATAACTTCCTGTATAGCTTGCATAATGTGTCTAGGGTAGGCCCGTTGACGAAGGCGAATTGGATGTTTGGCAGGGAGCTCCTCAACAATAATGGGCGTCTGATGGCGAGCAAACCCAGGGGGGTTTGTCCTCAGCCCACAAAGAAGGGACATTAAAATCCTCCCAACCGGAGTTTGCTACGATTTCATGTAAAGCCATTAAGCGCCATGCTTCCTCCTGGGGAACCTCCACAGAGACCTTGCCATATGTCAAAGAAGTAGAACCGTCCGGCTCAAAAGAAATCTGAGCCCTTAATTTACTCAACAAGTCTCGCCCCATAAGGGGAAGAGGGCACTCCGGCATGTAAACAAATTGATGAGTTATCGTTTTACCCCCCGTGTGACAAATTAGGGGGTTGAGGAATGGGCGTTTGATTGGCTGGCCTGTCGCCCCCTGGACCGTGATGGTATGCGAGGAGGGCTGGGCCAAGGGTTTGGTTATGACGGATCGGGTAGCCCCTGTGTCTACAAGGAAGGGAATAGGCTTGCCTCCAATTGTGAGACTGACCATGGGTTCAGGGAGGCGTGCCGAGCCCGGTCCGTTTCATTCCCATTCCTCGACTTCGGCCAGACCAATGAGGGGGGTATTGGACGCCCCTCGTCCCCTCCCTCGAAAGGGTCTGCCTCGTCCACCTCGGCCGTCTCGGGCATAACCTCCCCGATTTCCTTCCTTGGCACGTTCCAGTTCTTTTTCAGGGCATTCATTTCTCCAGTGGCCAAATCGTTTACAGATGGCACACGGATATGATCCCCGGGGTCCCTCCGATCCCCGGTCCCGATACCGCCCCAGGGGTCCCCCCGACCCCTGGCCCCTTGTGCCGCCCCAGGGGTCCCCCCGACCCCTCAAGCCCCTATCCATTCTCGGCCCACCTCGGGTCGCAGGCCCGCCCATCAAAGCTGCAGCAAGCAGTTCTGCCTTTTTATGCATTTTTTGCTCCTGCTTCTGTTCCTCAATTTTATCCCTGTTCGCAAAAACCTTCCGTGCCACTTCCATCAGTTCACTCATTGATTTCCCAAGAGCTCCCTCCAATTTCTGCAATTTTCGCCGTATGTCAGGGGCTGATTGAGAAATGAAGGCCATTGCCAACATGCGAGCATTTTCAGGCTGAGTAGGGTCTATGGGGGTGTACATTCGGTAAGCATCTAACAGTCGGGCATAGAAGGCTTCCGGGGCTTCACTAGCACCTTGGATCACCAAAGAAGGTTTTGACATGTTGGTGGTGGGTTTCCCCGCCACCTGGATTGCCTGCACCACAAGGCGCTGGTAATCCTGAAGGGACCTAAGATCCTCGATCTTATAAGGGTCCCATCTGGGATCTTCAGAGGGAAAATTTCTAGCCACCCAGCGTTCAATAGTCATATCCCGGGCTGGCATAGTTCCTTTTAGGATTTTAAGGGCGGCATTCCTAATCTTTTCCCTCTCTTCCGGATTGAAGATGGTACTCATCAACTGTTGTAGATCCCTCCAAGTTGGATTGTGGGTATCTACAATAGTTTTAATCAAATCAGTAACCTCTGCTGGTTTGTTACAAAACGGACCATAATGCATTTTCCAGTTTAAAAGGTCCGAGGAAGTAAATGGGACGTGTTGAAACACAGAGACAATTACAGGCTCTCTGTTTGGTTCAACCACGGACTGATCTACCCTCCTGAGAGGGCTCAGGAAAGCCGGTCCGTCTTCCGACGGATCAGCTTCCTCACTCTGCCTGGTATTCTTAGAGCGAGTTCGATCAGCTATGGGGCCTTCCTGTTCCCCAAGGGGCAACTTTTGTCCCCCCACTGCTCCTTCTAATTCATCAGAGGAGGGGGTGATCTGTTCGCTTTTCTGGGTTTGTCGCTCCTTCGGGCGGGCCCCCTTGTCCCCTCCATCCAAACTGGTTTGGGCGGAGCGGTCAGCTGGGCTTGGTACCCCCGGTGAGTCGGGGATGCCCAAGTCATCGAGGGCTCTCAGGAAGGTATCAGCTCCCTCTCCTGTACTGCTAGAAACTGAGGTGCTTGCCCTATGGCTAATGTCACCCTCCCCCCGAGGGAGATATGGCGGTGGATTGGGCAGCTCCTCTGGGCAGCTAGGAAGGATGGTGGGGATTGTTTTTTCCTTTTATATGGCAAGGTGCGGGAAACCAATAATCTACACCTTGCGGCTTTGCACTTTTGTAGCCAAATGGGGGGATGTTGTACTAGAGTAAGCCAGACATCGATGTATGGGGCTTGGTCAGGATGTCCTGTGGTGGGGTGGAAGACCCTCTGGTGTACTTGTAGTACAACCCTAGGTCCAGCGACCCCGCTGCTGGCCAGCCTACTCTGAGTTCTGGCCAGTCCATCTCACAGAACACCCGCAACCTCTGCCTACTCCATTTTATGCCGTAATCCTGGCTAATGTAGGCATCTTTAAAATGTTTTAACATACATGCCAAGGGGGTCAAAGGCGTACTGCCACCTCCACCCATTTTCCTCCCAGGGCACCAGACAAGACAAGTAGGTAAAGGGATTTGGGAAGAAGGTAAGGGGTCCATCTCTCCCAGGAAAACACGAAGGATTCTCAATCACGCTTCCCCGACCGCCAGCCCCGGACACTCAACGGTCACTGGACGGAATTGCGGGGTACACTCACACCAGTCGTGCACGACAAACCTCCCACCTTGGGGTCCCTCCGACCCTGGGGTCCCTCCGACCCCTCGTACCTTCAGGGAAAGGGTGATCAGGCACTTCCCCCCCACTCCTCCAGTGGTTATTCCCCTGGGTGACTCTCACCTTTCCCAGCAACCCTCCGTTGGCTGGATATACAGGCTGGTCCCTAGCCCAGGGGTTTAGGTACTTGCCTGCCGGCGTCCTTTTCTTCTCCCTCCAGCTGGATTGAAACGTGCCTGGTCTCGTGGTCTCTCTCTTAAGCGGTTCTTGGAAGCGTCAACCGATGCCGCGAAGGGCCGGCCCCACGGGGAAGCCCCTCGGACTAAAAGAGTCCGATGGCGCCTGGGACTTTCCCCGATCCTCCGGGTCCTTCACAGCGTGGCGACGATCCAGAGGAATCTAAAAATTCCGTTGCCTCCTGGCTGGCTCGCCAGAAATGAAGCGGGATTCACTAATCCCAAATTAATCAGGAGACAAGACCACAGAGATCCAGAGAAAACAGGCTTTATTGAATATTGCTAGCAATAGGCCCAGTGCAGTAACCTGACAAATACTGAGCCCCGAGCAACGCCCTGAGGTGGTTTTTATATGTTTATGATCATAGCATACTTTCAGTTCCTTCTAGGATAATGCAATATGCATAGATACAGATGGGTAAACTGGAAAAGTACAAATACAGAAGTAACCTGGAAAAGTACAAAAGCAGAAGTATATGGGTATACAATACGTGCCAGTTACACAATTACAATGGTTACAACATTATAGTTACGACAGATTGCTACAAATGTCAAGTTCCCTTCTAGGAGTACAGATGTAGGAGAAAGGGCAATACATTTATAGATGCGCTATAAATGATATAAAAGCAAGGCCTTTAAGATACATACTGTTAGGATACACCATATGAGGGGCTCTCCTTCAACATGGCTACAGAGGCCTGCTTTTAGTCACAGTTTTGCATTTCTAATGTAAGTACTCTTTCTGAATACATTCATTCTGGTGAAAATTTGCTGAAGGAAACCCCATATCTGGGGGATTTATTTATTATTATTTATTTATTATTTGGATTTATATGCTGCCTTATCTCCAAAAGAATTCAGGGCGGCTCACAACAATAAAACACATAAAGTCCAATCCTTCCTTTAAAAATACCCAATAAAACTATAAAACTATAAAAACCATTAAAATCCCCTCTAAAACCCCTTCAGTCTAAGCTGGCCAGGCGAAATAGCCATGTTTTAAGGCCACGGCGGAAAGAGCGAAGGTCAGGGGCCATCCGGAGCCCCAGGGGGAGCTGATTCCACAGGGTAGGTGCACCCACAAAGAAGGCCCACTCCCTAGGAGTCACCAGCCGACATTGTCTGGCCGATGGCCCCCAAAGGAGGCCCTCCGTGTGGGAACACACTGGACGATGGGGAGCTGTCGCTGGCTGCAGATGGTCCACCAAATACCCCGGGCCTAAGCTATGTAGGGCTTTATAGGTAATTACCAGCACCTTGAATCTCACCCGGAGGGCAACCGGTAGCCAATGCAGGTCCCACAGGAGGGGTATAACATGAGAGCGTCGGGACATTCCCATCGCTACCCGCGCAGCCGCATTCTGCACCAGCTGAAGCCTCCAAGTGGTCTTCAGGGGCAGCCCCATGTAGAGAGCATTGCAGTAGTCAGTCTGGGAGCTGATGAGCACATGAGTGACTGTGTGTAAGGCATCACGGTCCAGGTAGGGGCTCAACTGGCACACCAGACGAATCTGGGCAAATGCCCCCCTGGTCACTGTCATAACATGATCTTCCAGAGTCAGCCGCGAATCCAGGAGGATGCCTAAGTTGCGCACCCTATCAACAGGGGGCAACACCTCGCCCCCTATAACCAGCGATGGAATATTCCCTTGGAACTGAGATGCCGGTATCCACAGCCACTCTGACTTGGCAGGGTTGAGCTGAAGCCTGTTCCTCCCCATCCAGAGCCGCACCGCTTCCAGGCACCGGGACATCACGTCGAGGGCATCACTGGGCTGATTCGGGGTGGATATAAAAAGTTGGGTATCTGATGATGGGTACTGATGATACCCCACCCCAAAACCATGGATGATCTCCCCCAGTGGCTTCATATAGATGTTGAACAGAAGGGGAGAGAGGACCAACCCCTGAGGAACCCCACAAGTGAGGGGCCTCGGGGCAGACTTCTTTCCCCCTGCCATTAGTATACAGGATTACCTGTATACTAATCCTATAATACTTCCTATAATTGGGCATCTCTCCTACCAAGGTACATCGGGGAATGGACCCAGAGTATCTTCCCCCAATGTCCCAATAGGCTGTACTTGAACTCCAAGAGGTCTTCCAACATTTAATACAGCCTTCTCCATGTTATGGCTCAGGGAATCATAAATCAATCTCTGAAGAAGGTGTATCACCCTTTTTACTTTTTGTTCTTTGAGCTCAACGGGTTTTCTCCAAACAGGTTTTCCTCCAAAGATTCAATAGACTCATTGGGGGTTCTCTCCCTCTGGCTCCAGCTGTTGTGGGGAAGCTCTCCCATCTCCTGTTCTTGGGGATAAGACACAAATTTTGAGGCCTCCAGCCTAAGAGTTTCTGAAAAATATTTATGTCAAACATGGATAGTGTGGCTTCAATAGGCTTGGATAGCCATAACCATCTCACATAGCCTCCTTCATCATTGTCCTCCTCCTCCTCCCTTTCCATAGGAAATTGTGATTGGGTCGCTGGGCCCTTCTGTGCAGGCAGGGTTTAGTGAGCTGTGGCTTGGGCTGCTGGGGCATTCATACTGTTTCATGCAGAGGCAAGAGATGGTTTTGATGTCAAATTTTCAGGGGCTCCATACTTCCCTCTGGGCGAATCCAGTACATTGGCAGCCCAGCCAGCTTCTCACAGACAATGTAAGGCTGGGAATCCGACCAATCAATTAATTTATGCTTCTGGGGATGCTGAAATTCCTCAGCAGAACTAGGTCACCTGACTGCAAGTCCTAAACACTTAATCATAGTTCATATTTCTTTGGTCTCAAATTCCTGAAGCAGTTTGAGTCTTCTCATATACAGTCTTCAGGTCCTTCCCAGTCGAGGAAGAGTGTAGTTAAACCTCTGCAGATAGGGAGTGTCCATGACTTCTGAACATCCAGGAGACCAAGCAATTGATAAGCTTGCTCTGAAAGTCTTTGCCTTGATCAGAATGTATTTGCTGGAGCAGTTTATAATGGACAAATAATTTCTCCATTAAAACCCTGACACCCATTGACCTTTAGTTGGAAAAGCCAGAGCATAGCAGGTGAATGGTCAGTTACTACCACAATATTTTCCTGCCACTTGTATTGGGTTCCAAACACAGGAAGTCAATACATACTAGCTTTATAGGTCCTTGACTTTATAGATAGCCTATGGGGGAACCTTACGGGCAGTAAGATCTTTCATGGATACAGCACAGACAGGATCAATAATAACCTTTGACTTCAGCCTTCATGCAAGGCCAGTAGAACCAATCTCTTTCCAGCTTAAATGTTATCTCTGGTCTCAATTGCTCATGATTATCGCCAACACTGTCTCCCTATGTTTTTTTGAGGAGAAACAATTGCTACTTTTCTTTAAGGCCATCTGAAGGACTCCTTTGCTAGATTACCCCATGCGGAGCTGTAGTCAGTCTCATTCTTTATGTAACTATCTTTCTTCCTTTGGTGAGGAAGGAAGAACTTCCACCAGTCACTCTCTAAAACTTTCATAGCCAAATTGCACAGAGGACTTCGGCCTGGTCCTTTCTCAAATCTTTCTTGGTAAGAACAGACAGACCTCCACCTCTCACCTGGGTTGGGTTGCATCAGTGATTCTTTTGCTCCTTTTGCCCCTCTAGTCTGAAGTTTGACCTCCTGGTGTAGGGCTTGTATACTGTTTAATGTCAGTTGAGTCCATTCTTCAACAGTGGCCTTAGGATATTAGGGCTTTCTCAATAGAGGATCTGTATCTCTATTTCCCATTCCTGACCCATATTTTAGACTGAAGCGGAATTCTGAAAGGGCAGCCAGCCACCAATGCTCCATGGCATCAGGTTTAAGCATTGTGAGGAGGTACATGAGTGGGTTATTGTCAGTCTTGATGTACTAGTCCTTTAGCTTATCTACCATGGCCAACTTCAACATCAGAAATTCCAGCCTATGTAAGGATATCTTAACAGAGAACTAAAACAGAAACAAGAACTAGGAAAACAAGGGATTGAGATAGACTGGTATACACGATTGCAAATACAATCAAGATATGATAAAGATTTGAAACAGTATGGTTTTAACCTGGGAAAATCAGAATTGGACGAGATATTGACTGGGACAGATGAAAACATGATTAAGAAATTGTATAATTATTGGACTTCCGGTTTGGTTCCTGTCGCTGAAAGTCGGTCTTTTTTCGGACCGCCAGTCCCGTTGCCTGTTAGAGCCGCTTCGAACAAGGAGAAGTGGCTCGGAAAATTCCAAATCCTGAAGGAATCGTGAATAGAGCCGGCGAGAGGCAGGTAAAGCCCCTGTGAGCCCCCAGATAACACCCTTTCGCTTCTGGGGAGGAAACAGGCGCGGCTCCCTATTCAGCTCGCCGAGGCTCCGGACAGCGAGGACAATTCTACATATCGTAGAACAAGGCGGCGGGACCAACCTTTCTATCGAGAACAAAGTGAATTCTCCAAATAAACAGGGT